ATACAGCAGACAAAAAGAAATAAAGAAGTTCATATTTAAAATAAGAGCCAAGGTCGTGCATCCAGCCATCCAGTGAAACAGAAAGATACAGCGGAGAAAAAAGAAAAAATCTTCCTAATAATTTATGTACATTTTATTAGCGCATTTTCCATCCACTCGATAAACAGTTTTTTCATTAACTGTGTTCTGGGGAAGACATATTTTGGGTCAAGAAGGTTAAAATCTACTGTACGCAAAATCTGATTCTCACAAAACTTAGTTGTAGAGATGCAAACATTCTTGCCAGGAGTGCAATTTATTGAGCTTACTTTTTGTAGTTTTGGGTATGCATTACGAACCAATTTTTAATCTGTTTTGTTTGTTTGTTTTTGATAATTTTAATCATATTAGAGGAAATCGGTTGTTCCTGCCAAATGTTTGTTAAAAAAAAAAACAGAGAGAAAAAGTGACTGTCCCTATTTTACGGGTAAATAATTTTTTGTTACATACTATTTGTGCAGCTGATGGTTTTTCTCCTAGAATATAGCGATATATCTATTTCTGGCTGACACTGATACACCGATACAAAATGTTTCATTTTACGTTGTGGTATGTTTCTTTTTATTTCAACGTCTGGTTTTGCTGTTAATTTCCTTAAAAACATTGAATACTTTGAGGAAGCCAGAAGACGAAAAATAAGCATCAAGATCTCATAAGCGAGGTTTATAATTTGTTTGTAAGGGTAAATCCAGTTAGTTTGTCGCTTCAATTTTCTTGAAGCAAAAACACGCCAACGTTTTCCTCTCGGCGAGCAGTTTGGGTAATTGTATCACAGAATTTCTGAAGTTCTTTCTCTTTAACCTCACAGCAAATAAAAACGGCTTGAAACGGAGCAACCAGTTCGTTAAACTGAATTTTAGATATAAAATTTGATAATGTTGATAAAATAAAATATTTGTCATTGTTTTTGGCGTTCAAAGTTTCCTTTTCATTTCTTCCAACCAAAGGCATGCAGGCAATTATGCAATAGATCTTTGACCAATCAGAGTGACAGTTCATATTACAGGTCTTACCGCTTGTTCCAGTGTCGTTTTCACTACCTTCGCTTATGCCATTGTATATCAAGAAACCCGTTGCCACCAAAGGAAGATAAAAACATAGCAACTTCCCAAAGAAGAAGCAGAAAGATTTGCCAAAGAAAGCAAGGCGCCGTTTAGACAACTGTGTTAGTGGTTGGAGCTGTTGTTGCCTGCTATCTTCCAATTCCTCTCTGTCCTTTCACCTTAGGATATAATAACAACTGCCCTGTCGACGGTCACGTTTGGCAAACATGTGTAATGTTAATCTCGCTTTTTAATCCGCTAATTTATTGTTGAGAGAAAGGGAAAGTTTATATTTAGGATGAGAACTCAGGTCGTGCATCCAGCTATCCAGTTAAGGAGGGTCTGCAAAACTTGGAAACTTACATTATGTAAATTTAGCGTTTACTTGATGAATACAAGTAAACGCTAAACACTTTTAATTGGTTGCTTTACATGTCAAATATATATTTGAGCCAA